TTTATGCCTTCAAGAAGTGAAATTCCAGCTGGCAGGTTTTGCTTCTGCCTGGAAAGCCTACTTCCTTACCTACTGGCCCCATCTTGTGGTTTAGAGTATAAAAGGAAAATGTAAATTAGACTCAGAATGAAGCCTTCCGGGAGCTATGCTGGCTTCAGTCCAGTAGTGACATTTCTCTTCCATTTGCATCAGTATCACGGTGCTGTTTACAGAGAGATTCCAGCAACACAGGAAAGCAGGTGGATTTCTGTGTCAGAGACCAGCCTAGTCTACACAGTGAGTTCCATGCCAGCTGGGGCTACACAGTGAGACCCTTCTAAAATCAAACAAAAACAAAATCTCTGTTGAAGATTTGTATAAAGAATCTTTCATTTCCTTCTCATGCTCTTTCATGTGTTGTTCAAGAAATGCAGAGCAAAGTACTGTTTTTGTTTTTTTTTTTTTTTAGGAACAGGCACAGATTCAGACACATACAGAGACACAGAAGAGACATCTGCAATAGAGACAGAGCAGATCACACACACACACACACACACAGAGAGAGAGAGAGAGAGAGAGAGACAGACAGACAGACAGACAGACAGACAAAGACAGAGAGACAGACACTCAGAGACTTCTCTGTAGTTATCTCTAACTGATTAACTGATGTACTATGATGCTAACATGAGATCTTGGAAACAAAAGAGGAGAAGCGATGGTTTGATATGCCTGTGTCAAGTTGACAAGGAGTCAGTTGTGCTTGCTAGTTTGTCAACTTGACACAAACCAAGATCACCTGAGAAGAGGTAACTTCGACGGAGAAAACGCCTCCATCAGGTTGGCCTGTCGGCAAATCTGTGGGGGAACTTTCTTGATTAATGATGGATGGCCTGCTTAAGTTCCTGCCTTGGCTTCATTTAGTGAAGAACAGTGATTAGGACACATAAGACAAACACTTTCTTCCCCGAGTTACCTTTTACCAGTGTTTTATCACCAATAGAAGACCAGACTAAGGCAATGATGATCAATTAATCTTCTAATACTACTTCTCAACTGATGGTGGGCAGTCTCTTAGGAAAACCCCCAAACTCCCTACTTCATCCTTTGAAGAGGAGGCTTCATATTTCCAGTAATAATAATTAGCTGGAAGACCTGTCATAAGGAGTTTGAAACCATTAGATTTCCAAGAAGACATAAATCTTACAAGATTAAAATGCAAGGTTTAAGCAAGAGTAACAGTGTCAATCAGTGACCACAGGAAGGATGAGAGCAAGGACAGCCACAGCCATGCTTATTTTAGAGGAATCATCCCTTGGGCGTGCATCACTTGGATTGTGTTCTTTTTAAATCGCATTGGTAATTGTGGTAGTTATTGGGGCCAGTTCACCCATACCCGTCAATAGGTCAGCTCTGCTGAGCTGCCCAAGCAGGGAGCAGGGCCGGCTTTCCTGAGTGCAGCGGAGTGCTGCAGTTGGTAATGGGGAGGGTCAGCACCCTCATCTGCTGCAGGTGCCTGGGGTGAGGGGTAAGGAGGGACATCTCTCCCCCGTCCACACCGACAGTTGACAGACTAGCAGTGGAGACAGCTCTCCCAAGCTCACATCTTCGGGGCTGGCTCACCCACACCTCCAGGGCCAGCTCTGCCGTGCTGTCCAGATGAGGTGCAGGCTCCATTCTCCTGAGTGTTGCAGCTGGTAAAGGGGAGGCTCAGCTCCCTTGCCAGCTGAGGGCAGCAGGGGCAAGTGGGAAGGGCATCTTTCCCTCACTCCCACCACCACATCTAAGAAGAGGAAGGTGGTACCAGATATGCCCACTAACGTCCTCAGGGCTGGCTCACCTGTGCCCTTGTCAATGCTACTGTGTTGCCCAGGTGAGGCTCAGGGTCTGCTCTCATGAGTGCTGCAGCTGATGAGGTGTTGGAGCAAGTCTCCCACCTGCTGCTGGTAGCGAGGGAAGAAGGGCATCTTTCCTTTGCCCATGCCAACACAAGCAGGTAGGTAAGACCTGCTTTCCCATTCTCACGCCCTCGGGGCCAGCTCACCCATGGCCCTGCAAACAGGGTCAGCTCTACTGTGCTGCCCAGGTGAGGTATAGGACCCTCTCTCCTGAGTGCTGTAACCAGTGAGGGGCAGCCCAGACCTCCCTAGTGTTGTAGCCTGTGAAGGGCCAGGCCAACTCTGTACAACCCTATCCTCTCGGCCTTCCTTGGTATCGGAGCCATGTACATCAACAGAGACTACTGCTGAATCAGAGCCATGAACGCAGACATGGGCCCCAGCAGCAGTCCAGGACCAAGACATCACCATAGCCTTTGGTGGTAATGAAGCCACCCACCTCAGCCTGTTCCTCACTTATTTTGCCTCTTCAGATATGCCCCTGTTCACAGGATATGAACCATCTGGAAGCATTACAGCTCTGGAGGGAAAGGTATCCTGACTTATCAGGAAGCCAGGTTATACTTAGAGCTGCCATAAGACTGCTCTGGAGGCTGGAGTCACAATAGGACAGCTTAGCCTTGAGGGAAAGGTACCTAACTTGCAGGGAAGTCAAGTGATATCTGAAGCTGGGGTGCGGTGGGGGATGGTCTACCCACAGGATATAGCAATCCTGCTCATCTCCTGGACAGAGCCCTTATAGCTGAGCTTTGCTTCCCCCTCCCCTCTAAAGGGGGCTTCCCAGCAGAGCTCTGCTTCTCTCTGGCCTGAGATGTTGCTTCTGCTTCATTCTGCTAAAGGGGAAACCCGAGCAGAAATGTAGCAATCTCCTCTGACTCTGGCAAAAATTTGTTACTTTTTTCTGCTCCGCCTTGCTCAGCCCGCTTAAGGAAAAGTCTGTCTCAGCAAGGTTCTTTTGTTCTTGTGCACCTTGCCCAGCCCCCATAAGGGCATGTCTCAGCAAGGTTTTTCCTGCTCAGTCCCCTAGGGGAACATCTCATCAAGGTTATTCTATTCTGCGCAGGCAAATGAAGATCTTCACCCAAGACTTTTTTAAGAAAGAGATTTATTTGGGAAGGAGGCATCCAGGAGAGTGGCTGCCTCTGGCAGTGTGGGAAAGGACAGCACCCAACTGAACAGGCAGAGGGGCTTATTTATATAGGGCTTCTTAGGATTGAACTTTCTCCATGGAGAAGGTTTTCTGCTCAAGGGTTGGTTAGTTTTCCTGTCCAGGGATTGGTTAGTTTTGTTGGTCAGGAGCTGAGATGGCTTTGATTTCAGGTCCAAACTGTGTTTCTTTCACTTGTCCTTTTTAGTCTTTTGGCTCTAATTTTAGGGCCAGGGTGTATTTCTTTCACTGGCTCTGATTCTAGGGACAAAGTGTGTTTCTTTGGCACTGGTTTTAGGGTCAGGGCATATTTCTTAGGTTCTAGGTTCAGGGCTAAAGCACTTCTTTCACTGGTTCAGGTCTCAGATTCAGGGTGCTTTTCTTTCACTAGCTCTGGTAGGTTTCTTTGGCTGGTTCCTTTTCCCTACAATCTCTCTCCTCCCCTTGTGTGTGCGTGCGCGCGTGTGCATGTGCGTGTGTGTTTCCCTTCTTTCCATTTTGCTAGTCTGAGATTATTTACTTCTTGTGTTCTCATTCTCAGGTCCTCAGGGACAGCTTGCCCATTCCCCTGCAAACAGGGTCAGCTCTATCGTGCTGCCCAGGTGAGGTATAGGACCCTCTCTCCTGAGTGCTGTAGCTGGTGAGGGGCAGGCCAGATGTAGTTAACCTCTTTAGGTTGGAGTTTTCCTTCTAGCACCTCCTATAGGGTTGGATTTGTAAATTGATATTGATTAAATTTGGATTTATAATGGAATGTTTCTTCTCTCCATCTATGGTGATTGAAAGTTTTGCAGGGTATAGTAATCTGGCCTAGCATCTGTGGTCTCTTAGAGTCTGCAGCACATCTGCCCAGGCCCTTCTGGCTTTTAGAGTCTCCATTGAGAAGTCTGGTATAATTTTAATAGGTCTGCTTTTATGTATTGCTTAACCTTTTCCCCTTGGAGCTTTTAATATTCTTTCTTAGTTCTGTATGTTTACTGTTTGGATTATTGTGTGCTGAGGGGACTTTCTTTTCTGATCCAATCACTTTGGTTTCCTGTATGTTTCTTGTACCTTGATAGGCTTCTTATATACATTAGGAAAATATTCTTCTATGATTTTGTTGAAAATATTTTTGGGGGCTAGAGAGATGGCTCATTGATTAAGAGCACTGGCTTCTCTTCCAGAGGAATGGGGTTCAATTCCCAGCACCCACATGGCAGCTCACAACTGTCTGTAACTCCAGTTCCAGAGGACCTAACACCTTCACACAGTCATACATGCAGTCAAAACACCAATGCACATAAAATAAATAAATCATTTTGTAATATTAAAAAAACAAAATATTCTCTGGGCTTTTGAGCTGGGTTTCTTCTCTTTCTTCTATTCCTATGCCACACAGTTATCACTCCATTAACATATTTAAAAGATTTGGTAGAGGTGGGCTAGTAAAATGGGGCTCTTGTTTTATTACATTCATTATTCTAAGTCCCGTGTTAAGTGACATGAGAATACAGAATGGTTGTGCCTCTAAGTCTATTTGCCTAAATCAATTCCTCTACTTAAGGGACGTGGTGAGAATAAGCACACAGGCTCCAGGACCATGTTTTGGGAGCCCAGCATCTGAGTATTGCCTTCCGAGTGTATTTTCATTTTCTTATTGGGACAATCATAACAAGAAAAAAAACACAAACATTCCTAGCCTGTTCGGATGATTGAAAGAATTTACAATTTTAAAATTGCATACTTAGAAATTACATATAGCAGTGCTTGGCGTAGAAGACATTAAACGTACACCGGAACCAGCGGTCCAGCAGCCTTGGTGAAGGTTTCCTCCAGAGGGCCTCAGGTGCACCACCAGGCGGCGCAGCGCGTGCATCCCCCGGCGGCGCGGGCTAGCTTCCGGTGGCGAGCTAGTTTAGGGCGGGACCTTGGCTAGCGGCCCGCGGAGGGCTTATCGGACGCGGGTGGTTTGCGTCATCAGGAGTGCGCGGCGGCACTTCCGGTGACTTGAAGCCTAGTGTCAAGAACAGCATGTCTGGCTGCAGACTGTTCTCGCGTGGAGCGGCGGCTGTGGCTGCAGCGGCGGCGGCGGCGGCGGCGGCGACTGCGGCGCGAGCTTCCCGGGTGCTAGGGGTCTTCACGACGACGCACCGCCCGCTGCACACCAGTCCGCAGAGCTGCTCTTTCGCCAAGGAGCTCTTCCTGGGCAACATCGAGCGGGTAAGGCAAGTCCTGCCTGCCTGTCCCCTGTGTCCACCTTTCCTTGGTACCTGACCGGAGTCCTTAAAAGATAAACACCGGAGAGGCTGGGCTCAGGGAAAGGTGGCGTAAATGGGGTCGCAGAGGTTTTTGCTTTGCTTTGTTTTGAGACAGGATCTCATTAGTCCAAGCTGGCTCTGGACTCACTCCGTAGGCCAGGCAGGTCTTGAATTCGTGATTCTTCTGCCTCGGTCTCCAGAGTATTGGTTTACAGTCGTGTGCCATCACACCTACCTTTCCAGCCATTCCTTGCCCGGGGAGTTTGGGGAAATCCTGTAAGAGTTAATTACGAAGATATCTTCTTGTTCTGGCTAGGAAGTATGATTTCTAAACAGCTCATTCTGTGCCGCTTCTCTGGCTTCCCTTCAGCTTCGAGACTTCCACCAAGGTTCTTTTCCCTTTTCAGAACTCCACAACCCAGCTTGTAGCACCCTTTAGGCCATCACGTTAAGAGTGAGAAGGCTTGTCAATGAATTTGAGTTCGCTTCTTGTTAAGTTTGTTCTCTTTAGAACAGCCTTCTCACATTGACTGACTGCGTTATAGCAGAAGCCAAGACTAGGGCTAAGAGTGGCTGCCCCGCTGGAAAGTTCAAAGCTTTGTTGAAGTGTGGAAACCATGCGAAAGAAAATTCATCACTTTCCCTCTTTCAGTCTTTAAATCTTCCCCCTCATCACATCCCTTTTGCTTTCAATTTTACGTTTATGTAGTTGGGGAGAATCTCAACTGTTAGCTGTCCTTCCCGGTGTCATCCACATCCTACTACCATAATCAACTGTCCACCTCTAGCAAAGGCTGACCTGGTCATTAGAGCTCAACTTTCTCACTTATTCAAGGATAATTCTGCGTCTTGAACCTGTTCCCTCAAGCTTTGTCCCAACAGCCAGTGGTGATCTCAACATTGTCAGATCTAAGTGATTGCTTCTCATTCCTATTCCTACCTGATCTATCATTGGTATCTGATAAGATAAATACTCAATGTTTGATCTGAATGCACTTCAGCCTTCAGGCTTCTGAAAAACCATTTCCTTCATCTCCTTTTGTTAATTCTTTGGCTTCTCAACTGGTAGACATTGGCAAGTAGCCCAGATGAAGTCAGAGGGAGTTTTGTTGTTTGTATTATTTCATCCTTTTTTTATGTGGAGGTGGTGGTTGTGTTGATGGCTTGTTTTGAGACAAGCTGTTGCTGGAACTCAAGATCTTCTACCTCTGTCTTTCTTCCTGAGTGCTAGTATGCCACATGCAGCAAAGCTTAAGTTTCCTAAAGTTCAAGTCTAAGGCCCCCTCTTTTCATCTACAGCCAGCCCCTTGATGAATTCAGTGTCCTAGCTTTAAATGCCACCTCTGTTCTTATGACTCAGATTTCTTTTTCAACTTAGAGTTCTTCCCTTAACTCCAGACTTATGTCTTCCTTTCTGCTCAAAATCTCCCCTCAGATGTCTAATAAGCATCTTTGATAAACTTATATGAAAATTCTCTCCTGGATCCCACTCAGTCTTGCTTTTCCTAGCAGCCTGTTTACCATAGATAATGGAAACTGTGATTGGACACATTCTTCAGTGACATCTTGATTCTTTTTATTCTCATAGTCCACATTGAGACCTATTAGGTAAATCTCCCTTTGTCTGTCTTCAAGTTATATTCAGAATCTGACCACTTTAAAGCAACTTCACTGCTACTTCCTGGATCGGTCAAACACAGTTCTCAAAGCATTTCTGGGTCTTGATTAAGACAGTGGCAGTGATACTTTAGAGTCTCGGTGGAGAGAGTGTCCCAGTCACCCATGCCAGTGGCTGCCACAGGGGCAAGTGGGAGGTTGAGTGGTGAGGTTTGTGTGACATTAGCAGACTTAGTTACAGCCACTTGGCTTTTATAATTGACTTCTGCAGTAGAATTACTTGAATAACAGGTTCTGTTGCTTTACCAACCTGAAAGATGCTAATTGAAATTAAGCTCCCCTCCCTTGGTGTGCCTCATTCCTTTTTTGTCTCTCCTTACTAGAGGATGCTTTCCTCCTGGTCCCCAGAATCTCCCCCTGAAATTTTATGTTGTTCATTTTGGTTTTATTGGTGTTTTGTTTGGGGGAGATTGTATTTGTTTGGCTGGGTTTTGTTTGCTTGTTTCTTGTTGTTGTTGTTGAGAAAGATTAGAAGCCAAGTCATTCTCCAGGAGAAAAATGTGGTGGTTTGAAAGAAAAGGTGCCCCCCTAAGGGAGTGTCACTGTTAGGAGGTGTGGCCTTGTTGGAGTACATATGGCCTTGTTGGAGGAAGTGTGTCACTGTGGAGGTGGGCTTTGAGGTTTCATATATGCTCAAGATCCCACCCAGTGTGACAGTCCACTTCCTGTTGCCTTCTGATCAGATGTAGCCAGCACCGTGTCTGCATGCATGCCACCATGCTCTCATCATGATGATAATTGACTGAACCTTTAAACTGTAAGCCACCATCTCAATTAAATGTTTTTCTTATAAGAGTTGCCATGTTATGGTGTCTCTTCATAGCAATAGAAACCCTAACTAAGACAAAGAGAGTGGGCATGAGAAGAGCTGGAATCTTACACAGACATGGTTACTTCATGTTCCAGGACTAAGTATGTCCGTTCTGACCTTCACAGCTATTGTCTCTGATGAATAGGATTGTGTGTAATATAGGAGAAATCACACTAATAGAAGATGTGACAATTGCTCAAATCTAGTCACACATGTGAAGAGTGCCTGAGCCCAGATTGAATTCTTTGTCCTCTGACCCTGCTGCCTCACATGTTCAACACAGGAAGCCAATAGCCACGACATAAGAAGCAGCTGCTAAGGATGCGGGGGGGGGGGGGGGGGGGGGGGGCATGCATGGTGTTACTATTGGGAGCATTTGAGCTCACACAAAGATTGATGTCCAGTTTAATGAAGAATCCTCATATCCATTGTCTCCACAAGTCTCAAAGGAACCTTGAGGAAATGTGACCTGCACATTGTTGGTGTCCTAGGCTCCTGTTTATGGAATACTCTGCACCCTTGTTATTGATAAGGAAACTTGAAAATTAGGATTTCACCCACCTTATGGGTTGAATGGAGAGGAAAATAAACACAAATAGAGTCTTAGCCTGAAGTATCTTGTGAAGTTATCCTTCTGCCTCTTTCCTGAGACCAGATGTGGAATGTAACACATTTCCCTCTTCCATTTTGATAAATACTACAATGAGAAGTTCCTGAAAATTAAATTCGTCATACTTGTTTTTTTCATTTTTAGAAAGGAGTTTTCCCGTTTCCAGAGGTTAGTCAGGATGAACTTAGTGAAATCAATCAGTTTGTGGGACCATTGGAAAAATTCTTTACTGAAGAAGGTATGTATGGTTTTCTTTTTCATTGCCCGTTTCCATTACACGGTTAATTGGATTGCGTGCATTAGGTGCACTATAGGGAGAGGAAGCTCTTAGTGTTGTTATTAAGTTACAGAGTTTCTACTCATGGTAGAACCTTCGGAATCACCAGTTTCTGCTTAGTTAAAAGACACTAATTCAGTGTTCCTCTTGTCTCTTAAATGTTTCTACACTGCAGCAGGCTAAAACTTGTGTACAACATGATAGAAGTGAGTTCCTAGACAAGATGGAAATAGCTGAGGCCAGGTAGTTCAAACTTGTTAATCACATACTGTGGCAGAGGCTGTCTGAGATGACATACATGTTTCTAAAGTTAAGTCTAGATCTTTGTAGGTGTTTTATGAACCAGTCATGATCTGTGGTCCAGCATGTTCAGAACCTGTGTAGTGGAGTGTAGATGTGGAGGCTCTGAACACTGGGTAGAAGTAGGCCCAGACACTGCACAGTGCTCTGTGTCCTAACACAGTGTCCTGTGTCCCATTGCAGTTCTGAGAGCTGTGACTTACTTTCTAGTTATTGAGAAGGTACCATAGTTAACTGGAGATCAGCTGAGTGTGTGTATCACTTGCTTCTCTTGTCACTCTAACAAACTTGCCTGTAAGAGGCAACTAGGGAGGAAGGGGGGTTTGGCTCGTGTTGTGAGACTGAGACTATAGTTCATGGAGGTGAAGGTCTGGTGACAGAAGCAGGTCTCAGCTGTGACTGCTCACATCTCACACCCAGACAGAGCCAGGAGAACAGATGGTTCTGAGCTAGTGCTCAGCTTGCCTTTTCTTATAACCCAGGTCTGCAGCCTACAGGATGGTGCTGCCTACAGGGGAGGGTCTTCCCTCCTCAGTTAAACATCTCTGGAAACTCCCTCAGAGGCACACCCAGAGGGTTGATTCCTAAGTCATTCCAAATGCAGTTAAGTTGACAAATACTGTGAACCATCATAGTATGCCTCCAGGAATCTGTGTCATAGAAGTCCGTGATACACTGCTGTTTTACATGACCCTAGTGACTAATGCCAGGTCAGGAGGAAGACTCACTTGGCACCAGTGACTTAAAAATACAGTTCTTAGATGCCTAATGGTATAAATGTCAGCCATGTGCTGGGAGGCCCTGACTAAACTTCAGATCTTAGACATCTTCTGTCACTGGTATTGGTGTACTATACAAAATCCATTCTGTATACTTCTATCTATATGAACATTGCTTATTTATTTATTTTGTCTTGCCTAACCAAGATATTTGTTTTTGTCAGTGGACTCTCGGAAAATTGACCAGGAGGGAAAAATTCCAGTTGACACCTTAGAGAAATTGAAGAGCCTGGGACTTTTTGGGATACAGGTCCCAGAAGAATATGGTAAGTTAGACAGTGGCCGCTCACCAGGCGATCCAGCTCTTCTTCAGTACGTGCTTGTCCTGTGTGCATGAAGGGCTTCTTGTTGAGGAGCACTGGCCTTTAAATGCCATCTTCCATAGTCTTAAGTGCCCAACAATAGATAAAGCTGTATTTCTTCAACTTTCACCTGCCTGTGCTGTGGACCTTTGCCAGGGCAGCCTCCAGGTATGGCAGCTGAAAGGTCCTGGAGATGTGGGGGAGAGTGCAGTTGGAAACACTTCTCAGGGTTGGACAGCTTTCCTGGCTGTGAGCTGCAGATTTGGAGATGTGCTATTTGGCACATTCCCCAGCCACAACCAATGATGCCATTACTGAGGTTTTACACTGCAAACCATAGCAAATGGGAGCTACTCTTGGTCTTCTAGTCCCTTGCCTGGTGTGTCTGCAGATAATAAAGTGTAAATCCTTTCTACAGTGGAAAGTGGGCCCTCAAGTATACAGAAGAAGTCCGTAGTAGTGCCAGATCTGGAGCTGGTCCAAGCTGAGGCACAGGAAAAAAATCTAAGGAAAATAAGAGTGATGCCTAATTGCCTTCCATGGCGTCTTAACCTGGTTGAGTGAAGGGTTTAAAACTGTTAACTAATGTGTCACTTCTCAACCACATGACCACTTATATGAAAACTTGACTGTCTGCAGACTGCCTCAAGTAATGCCCGATGCTGCCAGACCCTACGTGTGGCATCAGCACTCTATTTCTTCACAGAAGTAGCTCACTTGGCCTCTACATGAAGCTGTGGGAGAGGCATACTGGGCATCAGGGTTGTAGTTCCAAAGGGACAGGTGTCACCATCTTGTGCAGCCCAGTAATAGAGTCGAAATAAGGCGGGGGCACAGCAGCCCCTCGCTGCATTTAAGAAGAAAAGGCAGAAGTGTTCTGATCAGAACAAAGGTGGAGAAGGCTGGGGTGGTGTGGGGTGGAGGGTCCGGGAATGGGAAGGCATGGAGGCCTGACGGCATCAAGATCCTATACACCTGCAGGGCTAACTTCCCTGGGTGTGTAGGCTGCCACCCCTCCAGTGGACCGTGCGCTCTATCCTCACTGGGCAGCTTTGCTGTTTACTGTCCCGAGAACTGTAGGTCTCCCTTCTATCAAGTGGACACAGATGCCTCTGGGATTTGGAGAGGAAATGTGAAGTGTGTGAGTTCGTTGGTGTTTTCAGTCCTTTTGTCTTTTATTGCTAGAGCAGTGATTCCCAGTGAGGACCAGTTTTGCATTTCAGGAAACATTGGCAATGTCAAGACACATTTTTGGTTGTGGGAACTGGGGCATAGGGCTGTTTGCTATGACACCTTGTGGGTGGAGGGCAGAAAGTTGCTCAACCTAGTGCAATGCACAGGGCGGCCTGCACAACAGCAAGTGAACACCAGCCCAGGTGTTGCAGCTCCAGGCAGAAGAGCCTGACCTGGTGCCACCTGGACTGTGGATGTCTCTCTGCTAGAAGGGATTTGCAACCTACTCAGCAGCTTACTGTTTGTGCAGATGTCTGTATTAAGTTCAGCTTCATCTATGTCTCCTTGCCTCAGAGAAACCTGAAGATGTATACAGAACTACTCTGGATAAGATAATAGATGATAGTTTCCTTATACCATTCTGTGTTTTAATTTTTTTTTTAATGGTTTCTGCTGTTACTTTAAAATTAGAAAAATAAAATGCATCCCTTTCTCCACTTGGAAAGTCAGCTAGTCTGGTCTGTCTTTCTTAGGTGGCCTGGGCCTCTCCAACACCATGTATGCTCGGCTTGGGGAGATCATCAGCATGGATGGGTCTATCACAGTGACCCTGGCAGCACACCAGGCTATTGGCCTCAAGGTCAGTTGTTTGAGGTCCTGTTCGGGACTTTCTAGAGGAAGTAGGGGGGACAGGGGACTGCTTCTGTGACATGCATGGGTTTATAGCTCAGGGTCTAGAGGAGAAGCCTAGCTGTACTTGCACATGAGACATAGGTTAATGCTGTCTTTGGAAATGAATCCTTTCCTGAGCTCCCCTGTCTGTACACATACCTTACTTGCCCCCTGAACTTAAAGCATGAGGGGCAGCTTCAAAGGCACACGCTCCTCAAGGGTTTCACATTAGCCAGCTCATTTCTGCTGTATACAGGTGAAAGGCAGTTAAATGGACTCGGTGTCCAGCTTTGCAAGCCAAGATTAGGTAGGTGACCAGTGTGCAGCTATTTTCAGCAGGGTTGGAGTTGGGGAGCACAGCTCTGAAACTACATTCCCAGACTAGATATAGTTCTAGCACCCCCATGTATTCACACTCTATCGTCCAAGCCGTCCTGTCCATAAAGGACAGGTCCTCAGCTTGTGAATCATGACGTGGAGACTTAGAGAAGGGCCATAGCTGACCCAAGAATGCACTGGTATAGGTAGGGATGAAAATCCTAGATGTTGAATCCAAAGCTACCACTGTACCTGCCCCTTGTGCATGAGTAGTGGGCCTTCCCTCAGCAGATCAGCTGTCCTTGCCGTGTCTGAGGCTGCTGGCTCTGAACTCACTGTTTTCTCTTGAGTGAAATAAATATTGTCAGCAGAGGGGCTGTCATAAAAACACCTCACTCATCTTCAATTGGTCAACTGGTCTGTGTGTTTTATTTAGGGAATTATCTTATTCGGCAATGAGGAACAGAAGGCCAAGTATTTGCCTAAACTGGCATCTGGAGAACACATCGCAGCCTTCTGCCTAACAGAGCCAGCCAGGTCTGTCTCCTCAAAATCATCTGTATACTTGACACTGTCCTAGCTCCCTGGGACATGGTGCTTGTGTGGAGTTGCTTGTTTGTATTTCCTCCTCTGATGCCTTCAGAGAATCAACAACTGATAAGATATTATCTTATCTCTGGTCCATGGTCACTTACAGGTGACATTCCTACAGCATTGACTAGGTCAGTGTTTGTGGCTCACAAGCCTCTTTGACATTCAGGGATGCATTCAGACTTCAGTGAGTCTTTCAGGGCACATGGGTGGGTGGTGAGTCTGCAATTCCAGATTAGCAGCTGAAGTTCAGGGAAGTTGTAACCAGTCCAAGGTTCCACAGGAAGGACGAAGCAGGCCTGGGCAAGACTCAGATTCTGATGCGAGTCCAGCTGGTACCTGTTTAATCTTGCTCCCCTTCATTTGAAATCCTGAAACAGGTTTCCTCCTGTTGTGGGCTGAACACACAGGGAAACTCTGATAAGCCCTTGTGGAGCCCACATTCCCATGTGGGAACTTCAGCCCAGACCATGTCTACTGCTGCTTCTTTATTGTTATCCACACCCATCTCTTTAGTATGAGTCTTACTGGAATGTTCCCGTCTGCTTCCAGACTCTGGCCACTTTCCTTGGTCAAGCATCAGAGTGAAGTGGAAGAGACTTGTATGTTTTTGTCTGCCTCGGTATTTTAAAGGCCTATCTTACTTCTACACCCTCAGAACCATTCCAGTCTTGTTCCCAGTGTTCTCCCTCAGTCACACATCTCCGTCTTTGCAGTGGGAGTGATGCTGCCTCCATCCAGACCAGAGCTACATTGAGTGAAGATAAGAAGTATTTTGTCCTCAATGGCTCCAAGGTACAGTGTGACCTCATTGCCCTGTCGGGTTCAGTCAGTCTTCACTGCCTCCGTGTATCTACCTTCTGCACACTACACGGGTGTGCCACTCCTTTATCAGAACAACCCGAGGCATGGCTGGGTGGCAGAGCCAGGACTGGAGCAAGGCAGTCTGACTCCACAGTCTCCTGATTCTGTGCCTGCAGCTGCTCCTGTGGGCTTATTTTCAGTTCTGGCTCCACACCATTTCAAAGATGCAGTATAGTACGGTGCACTTCCATGGCCCTGGCACCCACTAGAGGAGTTACACACTCGTGGCTCGTAGTCCTTCCGCTGTTGACGTCACCACCTCTGATGGCATCTTTGAGATTTCATCCAGGATTGCTTCAAGATAGAACACTGAAATGCCATTAGCAAAAGGGGGAACGAGTAGTGATGGCCTCTTACCTAGTTAGCATCCAGATTTCCCTGCTCATCTCTTACTCTTTTCCCTGATCAGTTTGTTTGCTTGAGTCAAAAGTAAATAATTCCCATCCATTGCAGTCAGTTGAGTACTCACTCTTTTTCTCATCCCCCATTTTTACTTTTTTCGGTTGATAAGAAAACACAGGACATAAATTTGTACGTTTGTATTTGTGCAGCCGTGATAAAAAGGCTCCCTCGTACTGTCAGCGGTGTGGTAATGAGTGGAGCTCAGAGGCCACCTTAGTGTCATTAGCTGTGCTCTATCCCTGCCCTGCCCTTCTCTCCTGAGAACATCCCTGCTCTGGAGAGACTTAGTGTGTCCCCATGCAATTTTACACAGGTTTGGCTTATGTGGAGCCTTCTCCATGTCCTGCCAGCTGTGGAGCATCTGCATGTCTGGCCTGAAATCCAGTGGCTGGATAGAGCTGAGTGCTGTCTCTAAGGATCTTTTGGTTTTTCCTCAGGTTTGGATCACCAACGGAGGACTGGCCAGTGTTTTTACTGTGTTTGCAAAAACCGAGGTGGTTGATTCTGACGGTTCAGTAAAAGACAAAATCACTGCATTCATAGTAGAAAGAGACTTTGGCGGAATCACTAATGGGAAACCTGAAGATAAACTGGGCATTCGAGGCTCCAACAGTAAGTAGTGTGACAGATGTTCATATGCCCGAGTGTGACAGAGAGACTTGAGAGTCAGGTTCACTGTCCACTCTGACAAGTATAATGGAAAATGCCATTTAGTTACTTGTGGTTTCAGTGAAGCATTTTAGCAAAGTCAAAATAAGAATGCAGTCACAATCTATGCACCTTGGTGCATTCAGCGCTGCTGATTCTAGGTAAGTGAGGTCAGTTGGAATCTCAGCCTGGGTAGGGCAGTAGTGGGCATCACACAAGCATAGGTGTCTTGGGTAAACATCCTGTGGTGGGTCACCCCGTCTTCTTTCCTGGAATCTCCTTTCTCTTTCTTCCCACCGTCCAGACCCACCTTTCATGTCCTGGTTAGGCAGCCGCTGCTTCAGTGGAGGCTGGCGTCCCGTTTGTTGGCCTCGGTTCATCCAGTCTGACATGGCATTCTTACAGTCATTCTCTTGGTGTAGTTTAGAGTGGCCATCCTACAGGGACTGTGTTCCACTCCCGGCACATCAAGGTGCACATCTGCGTACCCTGTCTTTGGAGCTGGGCATGTCAACAGTGTCGTTACCTGTTGACGACTGGGAGGCTGGTGCCCCAACAGCATGTAGGACCCCAAAAGAGGGTCCAGGAACATCAGATCAAACAGGAAGATATATCCTCCCCATACCCAGTCCAGTAGCCTTTGAAAGAATGACCAACTACATAGGTCCTCTAGCCCATGTAGCCAGCCCTGAAATATGATCAGCAGACAGAGAGGTCATGTTTTGTGGCATTTCACCCCACACATTGCCAGAGCAACATTTGAGGGAAAAATCATCAGGTCCAGCTTATGACACTTGGCCTGACTGCCCCTTGAGCCCTAACCTTCCTTATCCTAAGTGTCTTTCCCTGGTTCAACATGCCAGGAGTTACGCTGTTTATGTAGAAAAACATGCAGGGCTGCAGGGAATGTCGTTCAAGGGCGCTGTTCCAGCCCTGCCTCGTCCTGTGTACCTTGCTTTCTCACTGTTCACTCACACTGACCGATGGAGCTTGTATTTCTTTCATGATTGCTGGTGGTCCCTGGCTACAGAAGCCCTGTCTATCAGACACCTTAGGATTTAGCTTACAGCAGTTGCATTTTATTTCTTATGGTTTGGGGATGCTTCAGCCTGAAGGGTGTTGATGAATTGACACCCCATCCAAGCTGGGAAGATGTTACCCCCCCGGTATGGGATATGGCTATGTTAAACATAGGGAACAAGAATCCCATTGACCCTAAGGTCTGAGGAAATGCTGGTGCTCTCCATTTGCTTTTCTGTCTTTGGCTATTTAGGTCCTTTTGGCTTTTGTCAACTGTTGCTTTACAAAAGCCTGGCATAGCCTTTCAGAAGAATGGCACCTTCCCTTGCAGCCCCATCTCTCTCTTTACCGTGCTGTTCATTCCATCACGGTGCTGACCGTGCTGCCATGTCCTTGCACTTATGGTTTGTCTTCCTGGCCAAAGAATGAGCTCTGTGAAGGCAGGAGTGTGTTCTTCCCTGATCTTCAGGATGCTAAATGAGTGAGTCAGTCAGTCACAGGCCTGTGGGTCAAGAGCAGAGTGGGATTTTTGGTGGTCACGATTTTTAAATTCCATGTGTTTTAGCATGTGAAGTCCATTTTGAAAATACCAGAGTGCCTGTGGAAAATGTTCTTGGAGAAGTTGGAGGTGGCTTTAAGGTAAGTTGAAGGCCAGTCTCATTAAGTGCTGGGCCATTTCACATGTGAGTCTCGTGTTCTGCCCTAGCCTTTCTGCTAGCAGGCTAGCCTTTGCTCTGTCTGTGATTTTGTATGGCTCTCGGGCATAGGAAGTGAGCACTGTAGAGGCTGGAGAAATGGCTTGCCCCTAGAGGAGGGAGTCTCAATAGGATGAGGAGTCTTTCTTCCCCTTGGAGACCTCCTCTTTTCTGAGTTAGGAATGGAGTTCCCCTCCCCAGTGAGTGTAGAAAACAGGCTAGTGGGCTGGCTCCAGAGAGGCCTAAATTCCAAGAACCCAGCACCCTAGGTTGTAACTCCCTGCACTAGGCTTTCCCCCATGTCATCAGGTTTATATTTTAAAGATTTATCTTTCTGAGATAGAATAGAGCCTCACCATGTAGCTCTGACTGGCCTGGAACTCAGTTATAATAGACCACACTGGCCAGAGATCCACCTGCCTCTGCCTCTCTAGTCCTGAGATTAAAGGCATAGACCACTTACTCAGCTGAATTGATTTATTTCTATTTTATGTGTGTATGTGAGTGCCTACATTTGTGTATGTGAATTGCATGTGTGCCTGGTACCTGCAGAGGCCAGAAGGCGTCTGAGCCTCTGGAGCTGGAGTCACAGGCTGTTGTAAGCCCCAGTGTGGGTGCTGGAAACTGAACCTGAGTCCTCTGCGAGAGCAGCAAATGGTCTTAGCTGCTGAGCTGTCTCTCCAGCCCCAGATTTATATTTTATTGAGAAATGTTTTATGTGATATTTAGTTTACCACTTTAAAATATCCATGTTTATCATTTTTAATATATTGTCTGTTATGCCATCATTCCTTTTTTCAAATTTATTTATTTTAATTTTTTTTTTTTGCCATTATCATTTCTAATTCCAGAAATGTCATTCCTCTAGTTCTGCCCCCATCTTTTGGCAACTGCTGTTTTCTTTTGTTCTTCTCTGGGTTTGTAGATGATGAGCATTTCATCTGACTAGACTCGTGTACAGTGTGAGGTGTTTGTGACTGGCTGCTTTCACATCGTATTCTCAGCCATCATCCATGTCACAGCATGAGCCAGTATTTCATCCCCTTGTATGGGGAGATGAAGTTCCACTGTGGATAAACCACATCTGACTCATCAGTTCATTGGGTCGAGTTGTCACTCTGGGGCTTGTATCAGTAGCACTGTTGTGAGCTTTCATCGTCAAGTTTTTGTTTGGAAAGTATGTTCTCCATCCCTTTGGGGGCAGTAATAGAATCGCCAGCTATATGGAGACTACTGTACTCTTTTGAAGAACTCTTTCCACGTGGCTACAGTGTACGAGGGTTCTGCATCTTCACCAGAACTCGTGGTGTTGTTCATTTTTAAATTAACCCTGTGGCTCCACGCAGTTTCTCACTTGAGCCCTCTGGTTGGTGAGGAGAACCCCTGACTCTGGATGAGCTAGCACAGCATGGGAACCCGAGCTGGGTGCCTGTCTGGCTCCCAGCTGTTCACTGTCCTGGAGCAGAATAAAGGGCAAGCAAAGAGGCAGGGTGCTGGCCCAGCCATCAGATACTGCCATAGGCACCTGGCTGCAGTCAGTAGGGTCGTCTCTGTCTGCAGGCTTGCCTGTCAGTCCTGAGGAAGTCACGACCCTGCTGCTTCATCTGTAAAATCTGGGTGCTGATCCCGAAGCACAGCTGGAAAGTTCCTGCTGCTTGTAGCATTCTTAGATCAGTCTTGGTGTCTGTCCCTTCCACAGACGAGGAGTACTGACAGCTACTCCTCCATTTAGAGTAGGAGCAGTGACTTGTGTGTGCTCTGAGTGAGGCCAGTGATGTTGATGGAAAGGTACAACAGTGACTAAGCCTAGTTTGAGGGTTAGAACTGCTTGCTTCTGGCCTGAAAACAGGCAGGGTGACTAACTTGGCCTGGACGCTGGCATGGAATTCAGTAGACATTTGCCTTTGCCTTCATGAAAACAAGTTGGTTTGGCTGGGTCCCTCAGCCTCCTTCAGTGCCTCTAGACCTATTCCACTCTCCCTGCAGGTAGCCATGAACATCCTCAACAGTGGGCGATTCAGCATGGGCAGTGTTGTGGCTGGGATGCTCAAGAAACTGATTGGTAGGTATATGGATACTTACTCGTTCCTATGACAAAACAACCTTAGGAAGGGAGGGTAAATTTTGGCTCACAGTTTGAATGCTTGGTTCATCTTAACAAGGAAAGTGTGGCCAGGAAACATCTCTAGCTGTGGCTGCTAGAATGTGGAGCAGTTGGTCACATTGTGTATGAAGTTGGGATGCAGAAAGAATGAATGCAGATGCTCCCACAGCTTTCTCCTTGTTTAGTCAGTCTGGAACCTAGCTTATGGGCTGATACTGCCCATATTCAGGGAGGCTCTCCCCAGTTAAACATTTCTGGAAACTCCCTCACAAACAATGCCCAGAGGTGTCTCCTAGTGTCATGGTTCGTGGTTCTAAAGCCAACAGGTTAACAGCAAAGATTAATCTCCATAGTAGGTAAGTCAGGAGCAGGAGCCCTTTGCAGCACTGACTACGTACCTAGAATGTCTGGGTTATTTCTGCCGGGCGGGCAAGGCTGAGCTAGGCCACTTGGACAGACAGCTTAAATTCAGCATCCGGCCTTTGATTAGGACCAAATGTACTCCTTCCCCAGAGCCTAGTATATTTCAGCATTCTTCTGCTTTATTTATACACCAATCAGGCATTCTGTCAGAGGCATAAAGTTTCTGCTCTATCCATGACAGACCTGGCTCTCTTCAGTCCATGAACCAGGCACTCAGAAAACATTAGCTCTGATCTCACTCAAGTCCTGTGGCTCTTTGGGCATGGGTGTGGGCTGTGAAGTGCTGGAAGCAGATACATCCCTGTGTATTTCGTGATTGCTGGAGTTTACAACGATGTGGGCACACATTTGGATTCTTCCTCTATTTGCTTAGTAGAGAAACTGAGGCCCAGAGAGGGTGGTGGTTTACACAAGCCATGCATCATGACCTAAGGCAAACCCGCCTGCTAGGCTCAGGCGCCTTTCAACATGCTCTGTGGCTCTCATCAGTGAGTATTCTCACAGTCAAAAACATGTGAGTGTAGGAACCGTTGGAAACCAGCTGCATCTGGATCACAGCAGAGGACATATTTGGGAAGCAAGGTTCAGGCAGAGCTAGAAGTGCTAGTGCCACAGTAGAAGGCTGTGTCCCTCTGAGGCTCTTAGACTCCGGCGCTATCCACAGCCGTGCACATGAAGGCCCCAACCAGAGCTCTGCCACGAAGGTACCCTCGTGTTGTGGTTGAGTATCAGTAGGCCCGCTTCTGCATCTTTCTTGGATGCCCTGTGCACCTGGCTTATGCTAGCTGCCTCCAGCCTTCCTCCTCTTTGTAGCATCATTAGTGTGTTGAAAGAGGTAGAGTGTTTCCTCCACACCCATACAGCTGACTCAGCATTCTGTGTTCTTAACTCCCTCCTGGCTGCCATGAGGACCAAGAATTCCAGAAAGTAGGAACTCGAGCTCCAGGGCTTCTCATCTCAAAGACAAGGCTCTCATAGTTCCTTCTGGGTATTGAAGGGTCATCACGCTGTTCTTAGGAAGTACTTTTCCAGTATTCAAAAACCTTTTGTTTGTTAGTTGATTTTGTGTTTTTGTTTGTTTTGACAACTCTGTTCTTCTTTAGAACTGACTGCTGAGTATGCCTGCACGAGGAAGCAGTTCAGTAGGAATCTCAGTGAATTTGGTTTGATTCAGGTACTGAAGACTTTGCTTCACTGGATGGGAAGAGGTTTTCAGTTGTAGCTCTCTGTACTGTGCCTATGGGCAGGGACATAGGAAGAAAACTGTACAAGGCATTGTTGTACTTTGTTGCCACTGGGATAGCAAGGCTCCTCGTGTAATTTGCTTCTCGGGAAGAGGGATAGGAGATTTAAGCCTATGTATGTGCAGATCGCTTCTTGATTTTATTTTTCTGAACATTTCAGGAAAAGTTTGCGCTAATGGCTCAGAAGGCTTATGTAATGGAGAGCATGGCCTACCTCACTGCGGGGATGCTAGACCAACCGGGATATCCCGACTGCTCTATTGAGGCGGCCATGGTGAAGGTAATCCCAGCTCAACTAGAGCTAGCACTTGGGGGAGATACAGCCTTTCTGATCCATGGCATTGTCAGCCATCCTCTTGGTAGATGATAGAATGACTTGACCTATGATTTGTACCTGTGCAGCTTTCTGGGTTAGCAGGGCCCTAGGGAGAAGCTGGGAGAAGTAATGCAGAATTATTTCATACTCACTCATGTGAGTCTACAGGGCAGCTCACTGCTTCTCAGTACGGATTGTGCCCATTTTTACTGATTGATTCTAGTCTATAGCAACAGGACAAGACCCAGACGTCAAAACTTTATATGTATGTAAATTAGCTGGGCTCTTCGAGGAAGGAATGTCATTATTTTCAGAGTTGATAGCCTTTCCTCTAGATCGGAACTTTCTTTTATAACATGTTTAATGAAATAAAAAGAGGTCACTGGTTACAAGAATTTGATTTCTTTGGTGTGTAAAAGGGCCAGATTGCCTCTTAGGCCATGTCCTGAGTCGCCCAGTATTGCTACTATCTATCTTAAAGGGTCCAGAAACACTGCATGTAGGAAATGCTCTAAAACAAGCTTTAGAGTCTAGAACAGGCCCAAGTTTATACCCCTGTCCTGGGGCTTCCTCACCCCGTCGTTCTCAAGGTGGCTACTGACTTTGCTGCAATAAGGATTCCCCTAGCTTTGCCTCTGGGCCATACCTTTGTCAGATAACAGCGTGGGGTAACAGTGGTACTGCTGCAGTTGGATACCTTAGGGTTAAACAAGCAAATCTAGGGTCATGAGTAGACAGAACCTGGCCCACAGCATACAGCAGTCACCGTCTTTACCTCTGTGGCATTGACTGTTTCCCACTGTTCTGCTCTCCATCATAGCCACCTTTCTGCCAGATCCATTATCTTTGAGTCATCACTGTCAGGTGGAACTATTTCCCTGGGCTCCACGGAGTTCTCTGATATACTTAATTTAATAGCAAGAGCCTCTAAGTTTATTTTCACAACCCTCTGTTTTTGTTTTGTTTTTTAATTTTTTAAATAGTTTTTTAATTTATTTTTTGAGAATTTCATATAATCTATTTTGATCATATACTTTCGTCTCCTTCAAACTGCCCTAGATCCTCCCCCACTTCCCTACCCACTTAACTTCATGTTCTTTCTCTTCTTTAAAAACAAAAACCCACTCCCTGAAAAAGTAATCATGGAGCCTGGTTTGTGTTGGCCAACTACTGAGCATGGGGCTTGGGTGGAGGGTGGGTGATAGGCCAGTGTCGTTCCATTGAAAAAAACTGATTTCTCCTCTCCCAGCAGCAGTCAGTTGCTTCTTGGCTAGGGGTGAGACTTTGTGCCCACTTTTCTTTCTCCATGTTGGGATTCTGTCTGGCTTGAACTTACATAGGTCTTGTACATGCTGCCGTAGTCCCTGTGAGCTTATTATATGTATATCAATCCTAGTGGGTCTGGAAGCTGTTTTCTTTGGCTCTTATAATCTTTGTACTTCCTCTTCCACATTCATCCCTGAACCTTAAGAGTAGGGCAATGGTAAAGGCATTTAGGGCTGAGTGCTCCAAAGTCTCTCACTCTCTTCACATTGTCCAGCAACCCCCACCCCACCCCTTCTTATTAATAATCAGTGAACTGGATATTGCATACTACAGAGGTAATTGTGGCTCTATTTACTAAATAGTTGACTGTGGAAAGCTGTATCTGAGAGGCTAAAGAGATCAGTTGAGGGAGACTAGCTCCCTCTTTTTCCCCCAGGGTCTTGTACATGCTGCCATAGTCCCTGTGAGTTTATATGTATATCAGTCCTCTCTTGAGCAGGGAGAAATGAAGAATAGGTAGATAGAAATATAGAGGAGAGAGACAGAAACACAGGATAGCCTCAGGAGGGCCTGGGTCCAAACCCACCAGCCCCTTCTGTCTCTACTTAAGGGCTTTTAAAGGAATGCCAAGGGGTGGAGCAAAAGACCTCCTCCAGCACAGCCAAGTGCAGACCATCCCAGATACCTGGTGACCATATATGTGGTCCATCCATCCCCTAATGCAGTCCTGCTGTTTAAAGCAAGCTCAGATCTCACTAGGAAACCTTTGTGGGCTCCCACAATCAGTCATCTTGGGTTTCCTAAAACTGGGCATCTTCCAAGGACATGGGAGTGTTGAAGTCAGGGAAGACCTGGGAAAAGCACCAGTTGGCCATTACATGCAAAACAGCAGAAGTAAGCTTTGGAGCCTGGACTCGAATCCTGGATTTGCTATTTCCTAACTGTGTCACCTAGAACAAGTCACTTGATATCTCTCAGCCTCCACTGTTTATCTATAAAATGGAGATAATAAAAACACCAACATAAAATTTTTATGAAAGCAAAAGGTGCTAATAAGCAGCTTACAGTACCTAACATGTCACCTATTATTGGTTAGTTTTATAATATCAAGGTACAGTCAAGGTAAACAGTAAAATTCCTATTGAACAAGCACAGTCAAAAGTATATGTATGTAGATATCTGTTTCCTGCTGCTTCTGTTTGGGGTCCTTTTTTGGAGATGGAGAAATTTCCTTCAGTTTTGTTGAAAATACTTTCTGTGCCTTAGACCTGGGTTTCTCCTCCCTCCTCTAGTCCTATTATTTGTAAATTTGGTCTTTTCATGGTGTCCCAGATTTCCTGGATGTTTTGTGCTTGAGTTCTTTAGATTTAACATTTTCTTTGACCATCTTCTGCCTTGCCTTCAACGCCTGACATTCTCTCCTCCATGTCTTGTCCTCTGTTAGCGAGGCTGACCTCTGAGGGTTTGTTTGACTTCCCAAATGTTCCATTTCCAGTTTTAGTGCAGTTTGGGGTTCTTTAGTGGTTCTATTTCTACTTCCATGTCTTGAACTGTTTTGTTATTTTGTTCCACTATTGTAGTAAGGTTACTGGGTTCTGGTGGGTACACACTGTCTTGAATGTTAATGTTTGCATTTTTGTTCCGGTGTCTGGGCATTTGTAGTTATAATAGTTGAGATAATTGTAGGTGTTGACATCTGGTCTTGTCTTTGTGGGTAGGTATTCTGTTTCTTAGTTTCCTTTGCCCTCTCCGGATCTTAGGAAAGGACCTTTAGGCTGCCAGTTGCCTGATACTGAGTGCTTCTGAGTCCAGGTCCTGTGTGGCCACTGGGCGTCTGGAGTAGAAAGTGTTTCTAGGAATTGGCAGGTGACTTAAAGAACTTGGAGTAGGCTAGAAGGTGGGGTTGAGAAAGGTATTTTTTTTTAAGCTATAATACAGATAACAACTCAACTTTAAACTGGCCTCTGGACTTGAATTCTTAAGAGGAATGCTGGAAGATGTCACAACCTAGAGAAATGGGCATTGGAGAGTCTGAGGTGGTCCTGCTTAAGCTTAGGAACAGGGGCAGCTGTGTGCTGGGTGGGATTCATTTCATTCTCATGTTCTCCTGGTAACTTCCAGCTACTGACTGGTACCCAAGAGCTGACCCCCTTCCACATGCTAACTATAGGATGTTCAGTAGAGAGTGGTCATCAGAGCAAAATGGAAGCCCATGTGGATGGCAAGAGTGGTCACACTTCCTAAGAAAGAGAAATCTGGGTGACTTACAAAGCACAGGAGTTGGCACAAGAGGCATGACAAGTCATGTTGGGGAGGGAACACACAGGCTGGTCACCCGTCCAAGAAGGCAAAAGGACTTGCCTGTGCTTACCTGGAAAGTTCCTCCTGGAACCAATCATCTCCAAGCTCAGGTTTTCCACACATTCTCCAGCCGCATCCTGGGCAGCAGCTCTTCATAGCTTAGGTCTTGTTCTTAGAAGACCCAAAGGGATGACTTGGTTGTGGAGCACTCCCACCAGGCTGTAACCTTGTCTGGATCTGTGGCAGGTGTTCAGCTCTGAGGCTGCCTGGCAGTGTGTGAGCGAGGCTCTGCAGATCCTTGGGGGCTCAGGCTACATGAAGGACTACCCCTATGAGCGTATACTGCGTGATAGCCGCATCCTCCTCATCTTTGAGGTGAGTGTCTCTGCTGACTGTACTTCCCTGTACACCCTCTTAGTGATGTCCTGTGTTTCTCCCAGCCTTCCTAGCCTGAGAGCGGCTGCTGAGTCCCCAGAATGATACAGGGCAAGCAGGCTGTACCTCTGGTCGGACCCTCCTAACCATACACCAGTGCTTCCACCCTCCCTTGCTATGTAGAGGGAGCTTAGGCTGGGAGAGCCCAGACAGCCCCTTCAAGTCACACTCCTGAAGTCCCTTTCCACTGGGCCGTAGCTTCCCAGTGAGTGCTGTGCTTTTGCCAAGTTCCTTCTGGCTGGGCAGGATTGGACACATGTGGGAGAGTCGGGTTCCGGTCCCAGCTCCCACTCTGCTTCCATCCTGTACTCACTAGGTTATGATTTCACTCTCAGTAAATTAAAGTTAAGCTGACTCTTGTTGGCTCCAGTCGAAGGTCTCCTTGGTCCTTTGGTCCCACTCGACATCTCTGCCTTATCAGGCACAGCCTAATAGCAGAAGGGTTGGCTCTCCGAAGAGTCCGGCATGTCTACGTCATTTTGTCTGGGAGTTGCCTCTCTATTGGCCCTTCCTGCAGGGAGAGGCCTGGATTTCTCAAAGATCCTGGCTAAGGTGGTGTGGTCCAGCATGGTTTGCTCTTGAGGCCATAATTCATAGACAAGTGGGGAAGTTTTGATGTGAGGCCAACTTTGTTTAGAGCTGGGGGCAGTATCAGAAGAACCTCCATGCCCAGCTTTTCCTCCCAGGGGATCTTCTCTCCCCTTGGTGCCAGTCCAACTACAGGATGGTGCTGGCTGTGAAGCCTGGGTCAGTGGCCTACAGCTTCCTATTCTATAGTAGAATCATGAAGAAGGTGTGTGTGTGTGTGTGTGTGTGTGTGTGTGTGTGTGTGTGTGTG